CTTAGTGGGAACCATGTGTTATAAAAGAAACATTATCCTAGTGGGAGCCATGTGTTATAAAAGAAACATTATCCTAGTGGGAACCATGTGTTATAAAAGAAACATAATATTAGTGGGAACCATGTGTTATAAAAGAAACACTATCTTAGTGGGAACCATGTGTTATAAAAGAAACATTATCCTAGTGGGAACCATGTGTTATAAAATAAACATTATCCTAGTGGGGACCATGTGTTATAAAAGAAACATAATATTAGTGGGAACCATGTGTTATAAAATAAACATTATCCTAGTGGGAACCATGTGTTATAAAAGAAACATTATCCTAGTGGGAACCATGTGTTATAAAAGAAACATTATCCTAGTGGGAGCCATGTGTTATAAAATAAACACCATATCAGTGGGAACCATGTGTTATAAAAGAAACACTATACTAGTGGGAACCATGTGTTATAAAAGAAACAGTATCCTAGTGAGAACCATGTGTTATAAAAGAAACAGTATCCTATTGGGAACCATGTGTTATATTTTATCGAGTAATTTTATGGCTTTGGGTATTAGAAAACTCGGTGTAAGGAACTGATCACAAAAATTGAGGCAAAGCGCTCTTTCATGGGCTAAGCGTGGCCCACAGGTTAGCGTATCGTACTGTGGATCCGAGGTTCGAACCCCGTTTATCGCCGAAAAAATCGCGCTCCGCACGTGGCCGTGGGTGCATTATAAGTGTGACGGTCAAATCCCACTATTTGATTAGCCCACGAGTTGGCAGTGGGTGGTGTTCACTAGCTGCCTTCCCTCTAGTCTTTCACTAATAAATTAGGGACGGCTAGCGTTCTGTGAAATTCAATAAACAACAACAACAACAGCGCTCTCTCATTTTCTGTGTAAAATGGTAAGATTACACAAGGTAACCGCAGCAGCAATTGGTGGAATTAATTGTAGTATGGATTGTATTGTTGTTAACCTTGTTTGTGACTCACGTGTTCTTAAGGGCCTTCTAACTAACAAAGTCATGGACCTACAAGCTGTTTCGTTCATGAACAGGTTAGAAAAAAAAAAGTGTTTTAAAAGCCTATGGTTAAAACTGTTTACTATATATTCTTTTAAAGCAAAATAAGTTATTTACGTGTAATACAGTTACTGCTGAAACTAGAAAAAAAAACACCAAACAAACGAATTTCTTATGTTTTAAAATGAGAAAGTTAACCCTTGTAATAACTCTTGTTAACCCTAATAGGGATTAATCCACTAACTTACTATAAGCAACAACAAGTGAATAAAAAGCGTTTACAAGACCGATTGGATTAGTGAGAATTTCGCCATCTTGTCATTCTTACTCCTATATTTATACACAAAATTATATATTTAAATAGAAAAGAATTGCGTGCTTTTATATTAAAACGTGTAGAATCTCGTACACTGTACCATTTACTACAATATACCATCAGCAGTTATCGATTCGTGACGTCATTTCCTGCGCTGTATGTTTAATGTATAAAAATCAAGAAAAGTGTTAAACTTTCCATCAGGGTGACGATCGGTCGATGATGAAACAGTGAAGCTATAGGGCGAGAGTTGGCGTACTGTCTGTGTTTTTTGTTTTTGTTTTCATATGGTTGGTGTTACTAACCTCAACCAGTTTCAGTATTCTGTTCAATTAAGACGTAAGGTAATTTGTTCTTTCGCCAGCACGCGATTTTCGTGAGCCAGAGAATTCACGATTTCCAGATCAAGCAGCCTCCCTCGTGATGTAGGTTTTTGCCAGGTTTCCAGAGTGACAAACTGGTACTATTTTTCCATACGTAGTAACACAATAACCACCTTGAAACAGTTTAAATTACAATAACCCTTTTTAACGTTTGCTAAACAATCTTATTGTTTATTGCATCACTTTCTAAAACCATAAACAAACAACATTTGTTAAAAGCTAACGTGGTTAAAAACTAATAATGATAAAAATTGTTCCTAAAATCTACTCAAAACAAAAATGTCACTACGCAGTCTTCTTTTTGGCAGCGAGGAAGATATTCAAATCTCAGTTCCTGCTGTTGCCCAATGACAGGATATGTTGAGAGACCACAGCAGAGTGTGAGGGGGTAGGGACACTGTACCGAGTGAATGTCTATCAGTGAGGCTACAAAAATGAAAGCCGTGTATGACGATAAACAGTACACATCAAAATACAGAGAAACTGTGACTATTTAATACTTTTACTATTTATGATCTGGACCAAAAAAAAAAAAAACGGAACTAAAACCTGGGACTATTGGCAGCTCTA